TGTTGCAATACTTGCTGTTTTTCAAATGAAAATTATATGAAAGACAATGTTTTAATTAACCAAAATGTTTTGTGTTAATAGCATGATTTAAAAATAATAGCAAACGTCTCATTACGAATTCCTTTGGCAAAAATTCAGACCGAAATTTGAAACTGAGCTTTATTTTTTCGAGATATTAAAAAACCTTTGTTTCGTTGAAATACACCTGGAAGAAACGGTAACTGAGCAGACAAATATCAGGATTTGGGGAATCTCACTGCCTCGTACCCAGGCGTCTCGTTGTAAAAAATGCGCGTATGACGAGCGAAGGGGCTGATGGGAAGAGCATCTTCGCGCGTCGCTCGCCTGCCTGAATACTTCGTGTATTATACTTAAAGTGCCCCTGACACAAAAAATTTTTTTCAGTCTATTGAAAGTACTCATTTAGTATAGTGTTCTAGCGAAAGAATTTTTCGATTTCATCAAAACGAAAAAATTTTAGAGCCGTTTGAATCCAAATATTTTTGGCTAATGGCCGTCGGCGACAGAAGTCTGGCACTAGCATTTATTCTGACGTCACGCAAGGGAGTCGAGTCTTGATGGTCTGTTAAGTTATCTGTTTTAATCAGCTCGAATGTTTTGTTCACTGAAGTGTTTAACTTTTTATATTCTAAGTTCTATAAAGTATTATGTCAACAGAATCAGTCCGATGATTCTGGAGCGAATTTTATACCTGGTTAATATGATATATTGGAAGATGCTGATCTGTAGCTGCATCTCGTCAGGTCTCTAGTGGTATCATTAATATTACCAAATCTGCGACGCGGACGTGACGAAAAACTGCCGCTATTATCACAGTTTCACTTCACCGATAAAAACTGTTCTTGGTAAACAAAGTCAGGGATACGAGAAACACAAAGTAAAACTAGTCTCCCATTTATCAGTTAGCGATTGTTTTTTAGTCGCGCCATGTCTCAGATTTGGCGCATTTTTAATAAGCTTCCTACTAACGTGTCGTTCTATGACTTTGCAAGGTTCATATCTCCGGTTCGGTGCATGCTATAAAGACAAAATTACTACCATTCGATTGAGTGAAACAAAATCTCCTTATTTCCAATGATAGTTTTAGTCAAATATAGTTTTAGTCAAATTGTAGTCAAATAGCTATTTATGACCTTTGAGAGGTCAAGCGGTATCATAATTCATTATATTACTTAATTAGTCTCGAACAATGTAAAGTAGCCATACCTTTAGCCGACCATAACTTCGGCCCCTTTGGACATATCTTTTTCGCAATAGTCTTATTCGAACCGGAATCCAAAACACTATCTAGAGTCATATTTTCAAGCTTGTGTCTTCAGATTTGCATCTTTTACTTCGGTATTACAAAATATTTATATTTTTAGCTGGCCCGCAAAACCGAAATACAATTGCAAATTGAATCATCAAAACAAAGCAAATCATCGTCAGCCTTTATTAGCTTCTGATAGTTAGGCTTGCCGAGCCCCGGCAACGAAAAGAAATGCCTCTCGTAATCCTCTGTTCTACAATGATCCGAGCATATAGTCGAAGTCTTTGACGGCACAAACAAACCCTTTGCGCATACAAAATCAACCCATACTAGTTCTTTTTTTAGCTTCCGCGTGTTCGTCATTGAAGTATGGAATATTGTGTAGACTTATTCCATCTTTTAAACATACTTTATTGGTACAGTTAGCTGCAACACAGTAAAAAGGCATATCTTTTTCGATCACAAATCTACTTATATATCCGCCGAGAGTTCATAGTACTAGTATAGTCGAATGAAAGAATATACGCCGACCATTGAACTATAAATAAACTGGAAGGCTAACTCAGGGGGGGGAATTGAAGCCAGTGCATTTTAGTTTTTCTGAGTTATGAGCAGAAATACTCAACACTGAACGTTGGGCTATATATCAAATTGAAGCTATTGAAAAACTCTATTTGGTGTAGAAATTTCAAGACTTTAGCTAAAAGGGAAATATTGAAAAACTACAAACATAATTACCGATAATTTGCCGTTTTGCAGTTGTTTTTGTATTTTTTAAATATTTTTCTTTTCGCTGAAGTCTTGAAATTTCCACACCGAATAGCAATTTTTAATAGCTTCAATTTGATATAAAGCACGACGTTTGGGGTCAAGTATTTCTGCTCATAACTCAGAAAAACTATTTTGGCTTCATCAAATCATAGGCCTTCATCATAGCAGTTAGCCTTCCAGTTTATTTATAGTTCAATGACGCCGACTCACTTGCGTGACGTAACAAAAATCGCTCGTTCCAGTTTCCTTCGAACACGGACGCCTGCCAACCAAAAGCCCAAATTTTTTGTGTTCAAACGGCTCTAAAATTTTTTCGTTTTGATGAAATCGAAAAATTCTTTCGCTAGAGCACTATACGAAATGAGTACTTTCAATAGACTGAAAAAAAAATTTTGTGTCAGGGGCACTTTAAAGCGCCTGGGTACGAGGCAGGAAAATTAGGGAATTTCACTCCGTCACTCGATAGGCTAATTGCAGAAGAGTTTTGTACACATGTAAAAACACACATGTTATAACAAACCTGCAACAGACTTGTAGCAATGCGGGTTCCAACAACTTGTAAACAGGATGTGTTCGCACTGCTTGTTCCCAGCTTGTTGACAAGTTGCTTGTTGTTGAGCTCAACAGACTTACAAGTTACAAGTTGTTCCAACAACTTGTTATTGTCCTGCAATTCAACAATTTGTCAACAAGTTGTGAGTGACAACCTTGTAGCAACTTGATAAAATAACAGCATTGTTACAACTTGTTGGCAAGCTTGCCACAAGCCTGTTGCGAACACATCTTGTTGACAAGTTGTGAGATTTTTACGTGACAGTGTAGATGGAAATTTCGAACCAGAAGCAGTTGCGAAAAATGCACTGATCAGGTCTAATAAATGTATAACATTTTCATTCGAAATTTCAATCTTCAAAATTTTAAACTCTTCTACATCTGAGTGGACAGCCTAACATCGACACATCGTGCATTATTTCGCATTAGCTGAATTTCTCATTTCATGTTTAGTTCGCATTTATACTATTGTCTATACTGTAATATTATGCCAATGTACACTTTTTTCATTTTAGTGGCTGTTTACCTTGCTATCAATTGCTTGCTGTTTGACTCAATGTGGAAGTCAAATTCATCATGCACACAGAGACCTATGTGTTCAACACACGGTTGAAACCAAGCCTCGATCCACAGCTGGATATTTCGGAAGCGACAGTATATTCTTCCCACACGAATACCGCGAGGTATTTTGTAATACATACTCAAGCAAGAACAGCCTGAACGAGAAGTTATCAACATGTGCCGGAGGTCTGTATCACTGTGTAACAAAGTACCAGACCAGAGATGTGCTGGAGATACCCAACAAGGAGCCGATATCTTTTTCACAATTTGGTATACGCAAGATTAAGATTGCTGTTGGTTGCAGATGTGTGACGTAATTATTTGTTCTTTTGACGCAGTGTGAACTGACAAAACAGTATACTAGAACCAAACTAACATCTTTATATCATTCAGTCAACTGCTAAAATCAATGTATGTATAATATAATCATTTGATAGAACACAACACTGTATAATAGCTAATATAGCCTACTGTAATAGATATCATACATTGTTGTTTGGGCAGTGGGTGTGCAAATAGAATAGGCCAGTTGTCCGAAGATTGCATGGATAGCGCTATCCACCGGCTACTGGTTTCAGGGTTGTAAAAATGCTTGAAACGCTATGAAACTACGGACATTAATAAAAATAAACATTAATTCATAACTTCCGGGTTATACCAATCAACGAACAATTTCGGAAAGGTTGAAAAAATCTCTGGATAGTGCTATCCAGCCTTCGTACAACCGGCCCCAGACCTGCTTCAAGCGACAGACTCTTCTCCCCTGCATCATATGCCGAAAGAACTGTGAATCAAACGTACAGGAGGGAGGGGTAATATAGTTGAGATTTATTTTATGGTTCCTTTTTTTCATAATTGTAGTATGGAGTTATATAAAAAATATGATTAATTCTGTTTGCTATATTAACAAAAATATAGATCTGTGTAGTTTCTCTTGGCGAATATAAGTTTTGGTTTGTGTAGTGTTCTTCGATATTCATTGTGTTCTTAATATCATGTTCAAAACAACTATCATACCTCGTGGTGATGACCCCAAAGCATCATGGGTCATACACCGCATCTCTCCCACTGAGCTATACTATATTACTGGAGGAAGTGCTCGGCAAAAAAGTGTCCGCAAAAACATGGCGGATTTTCGCGCCATATGACGCCATTTCCATGACAACTGGTTCCTCCGGCTCATGAAATTACCGCTGACCAGGCTCAATTCTGAGCCCGCTACAATTTTCACCCCCCCTGGTTTTATCAACTTGCTTTTCGAGGTTTTTGCAGTAAAATCTCGTTGTTTTTTTATATTTTTTCGACTTTTGACCATTTGTTAAAAGATTTAAAAGTCGTACACGCTATTCTCACCCGCGAAAGACAACAAACCAATATGAAAAGCCCGAGAAATTTAGGCAAAGGCGATATTTGATGGCAGTCGGCAGAGCTCACAGGTAAATATTTCACATACTATTGATATGTTTTTATTTTTAATTTTTAAAAGATAATGGGAGTAAATGATAGAATACAATCCATTAGATAACAGGCTCTTTGTATAGTATAACGTATTATTTTCCCCCATGTGTTCAAAGTCTTGTCGTAAAAAAAATACAGAAACTTTGTTTTTATATTCAAATTAAGTTTTTTTGTTGTTTTTTTCTTACTTTACAAGCTTTGTTAAATATTTGTTGGCTGGCCATGGTTTTGTTAAACAAATTTTGTTTTATTTAATTCAGTTAAATCAGTTTTTCCCTCAAATCCTTTGGGTTTTCTATATAGACTCATGACTGAAATCTGACATTCTTGATTAGTATGCATATTAAATCTAGGGTGCCAGTAGAAGCTAGCCTAGGGGTGCCAGATTAGCTCAGGATACTGTGGGCAACTTATCTGGTAATATGATTTCTACCTAGATTTCTGACTAATGACATGTTGAATTGAGGATTCTTGAGCCACTAGAAATAGGATTGTACTTCCTGAATGTTGGGTACCAATCACAAGTGTAGGTATAAGCAAAGTATCTAGATTATAGGCTTTATAGGGTTGCACTGGATCTCATTATACAGGCCAGAACTGAGAAAGTCACACATGCTAGTCAGACATCAAGTCAGAAACAATTTAATTGGTAGATAATGTCACTTCCAGTCCATGCAGGTGGATTTATTTGGGGTTTTGTTCATTTCAGTCCTCTCTCTGTGCACCCCTGTATCAGATGCAACCACCTGAAACTAAGAAATCAATGAACTTCAACATTTCAGGTGAAAGACCTATAGTATTATTTTTCAGGTAGTTGCATGATACATTCAAGCCTTTAAATAGTGTGGTGGCTTAAGCTGCTTTCTCATTCCCTTTCTTCACTTTCTTACTCTTTTGTCTCTTAGTGAAAACTTTATTTTACAACATTTTAATTATATAATCTCTTTTTGGTCTAATTGCAGAATTATTTGATGGTGAGACAGTTCATAGTTCAACCTCTTTATTAAAGAATTATCAATTATTAGAAATAATTAATTTTGTTAGCAGTGATAAAGCTATCCAGACAAGTTATTATTGTGACTTTGTAGCCAGATGGGTATGATTTTGCTTTGGCTGTTCAGCATTTTGATCCATTGTGATATGTCTTGTGGTACCTGTGAATGATTTTACCTGCAAAATGAATGACAGAATATCAGAATGTAACATTACATTAAGATACATCCTTACACTGCAATTATATAATTATGTAGTAGATGCATGTTCAGTGTGAAGAATATGGTCTTTGACACTCTTTGTATATAATAAACATGCTATTGTGTAATGGAAATGATCAAATAAAGTTATTTCTGCAACAGCCCTTGCATTCAAACACCTTATTTGTATTTTTCTTGTTCATGCTTGAGCATCAGCCTCAGGATAAGCAAATTCCATTGGATTTGTGAGGGCACTTGAACTATATATTGGGTCATTACATGAATAACAGAAAAGATTCAGACTCCCACAGCCTGTACTACAAGTTACAGCTGTGACAGTGTAGAGGGGGGATCCACAAGTAAAATGTGCTGGAATATCCAAGGGGGGGGGGGGTGATACAAATAAAAAAATGATGTTTAATATGACTTAAAATTATTAAGCAATTGAGTGCACCAGCACTTTCCCCTTGACAAGTAAAATTATCTGGTATTGGACTGAGTAAGATAACAAAGTAGGGCATAGTGTTCCTTAATTAATCACTTATAATAAAGGTTTAAATGCTGATTTTTTTGAAAGTGCCAGAGTGGCAACTGGCAGGGTACTGAAAAGGTAGGTTGTGCACATGCATCCTAAATAAATACTGCTACAAAAACCTGGTATTTAACAGTTAAAACCAATCACGAATTTCATTATTTTAAAGTAATATAAAATAAAACAAGTCGGGAAAAGGATTTTGAACCCAAGATATGAGACAAAATTTAATTTACAGTTTGAGAATGAGTTTGAATATAAAGAACAACAAAAAAGAGGATACAAAACTACTGTGATATTGTTGAAATTAGCAATATTATACATTTGCTGTTTATAACGGTAGTTTTTGACATAATGTATTTACGCTTTTCCATCGAAATGGCAAGTTTAATAAATTTGCCCGAAGCAGCCCAAGCTTTGGCAAGCTAGAACTTAAAAAAGTAAAAGAAATAAAACTTTTGTGAATCTTACGTACCTGAAAACAAGAAATATAATAATCCTTTCGAGTGAATTGTTTCATCTACAAGCAGATTAAAAACTTAAAACTAACACACTTTTTTCTCGACTGCAAAAATATCAAAATGTTCAGTCGAAACTCGAAAATTATGATCAAAATTTTTGCAAAAACCAGGGGGGTGAAGGATTTTACTTCAAGCGTAGGATCGCGGTTGGTCAGTGGTAATTGCCATGAGCCGGAGGAACCAATCACTGAGCTATACCACAGATGAGGTAAGTACAGATGTGAATCTCCTGTGAAATTGCTGATTGTTTTGTGTCACACGGAATTCTCACTTCCGGCGAGCGCTGGCAAGTGTAGTTCTGAAATTTAATAAGGAAAGAGATAGGAAAACGCCGTTCGAAAGACGAAAAATTGTTTTTTTAAAAAGTCTACGCTACCGACGGCTATTTTTGGAATTAATTCTTCAAGAGTAACGGTAAGCGATCACTTTTATTGATTTCTTTTTATTAAAAATGTTAATATAACATTTTATTTAGCAAAAGTTTGTTTTTTTCCCTATCTACTTCTTATTAAAATCGTGAAATACACTTGCTGGGAATTTCAGATGCTCGTGTATAAATAACAAAACAGCGAATGATATAAATGCCTCAAAACATAACTCTCGCATAAAAAAAACATAATACTTCTATAATATGTATAGTTTTATTCCTCTGCATTATCAAAATTTAATAAAATAGTGAATTAATACAATTTTAAAGTTTATTTAATCCGTGTGACACATTTTCACAGGAGATTCACAT